TTTACATGTGGCAGCTGATGTGAATGTACCATTAAAGTAGTGTCACAACCAGCATTGTGACATTAGGATGTTGTAGACTACATCAAACATTTGGTGGAAGTAGGTGAGGTTTAAACAAGTCAAATAATTGCTATAGAAAAAAAAATGCTTTGGGCAAGATTTTAAAATTCTTTGTTGTCAGGTTTTTGACAGTCCTAGACCACCAGCATAAAGTACATATTTCTAAATTAGGAAAATCCCAACCAGCACGTATTTTGAAAACAGTTGAAAGTGTGCAGATAATTACATTCTTGTTGATTCTAGCATGTTTGATGCCAGCGGCCATCAACTCTTCCATGTCATGAAAAATGAAAGCCATTTTCATATAAACCATAAGAGTTCTCCTGGAAAGGGAGTCAGGCAGAGAAAAATTTCATGGTTTTTAGTTACTTTTATAGGTTCATTTCTGTGACTGAAGGCTTTACTTGGCAGTCATTCTCATCTTAGGTATTTTAATGAGCTGCGATTTTATGTCTAGTCTCATGTGCCTCTAATAAGATGCATTATTTTTAGGAGCACCTACTGGTATCTTTTTGGGGGGGAGGGGGGCACTAGGGATCATTGAACCCATGGCCTGCTAACATCTTAAGTCCAGCCAACATTTATCTCATGTATGTTTCTGGCTCTCTGCTCACAGGAAAAGTGATACTCAACCTCAAATCCCTACCTCTTAGAAAAACACCTGTACCATGCAGCCTCAATAAGTATTTGTCGAATGAAGTAGATGAGTGAATCCTACAAATGATGCTTATTTTTATAAACTCATACCTGGCTATTGCATTTAATTTTTTTTTTTTTTTTACTACTTAACAATAACTTTTTTTTTTTTTTTTTTTGCTGCTCTTTAGTGATATCGGTTTTCATTGATGTGTATTTGGTTGAGGTTTCTTGGCTTCCCTGTTGGATGTTCTTGTTTACCTCTAGAAAGGAGCTTGGTGGAGAAGATGACTGCCTCTTGGTTATACGTGCCCCGGGAGCGCATCACCTGATAGGCCTTAGTTGATAAAATCATTGTTTAGCCTTAATTTTTTCATATAATTTTATGATTTTTTGGTCCCTTTTTTGGTGTTTAGGGGCTTATATTTTTGTTCTAATAGTTATTTTCACATAAAATTTTCTCTTTTTTCCTTTTTCTTGCTTGTTGATTCCCTGCTGTGAGCAATAGGGAAATTAGATATTAACTTTGTCCTTCCCCTCCGTTCTGTGTCTTCCGTTGTGTGGCTTGAAGTGGTATCTTTCAAACAAATGCTTATGAGCCCTTATCAAGCTGCTGTGTTCTTCACATAATCTCTCATTTCTCCTTTTCTGGTGGCTGCCTGCAGTGTCAGTACACAGCCACCACGGGTATGGTGTTGTGTGCTTCAGAAACCACAGTTCTAGTTTTGCAAGTAAACCTGCACTCAAGAGTTAGCATATGTCTCAGGCTGATGTCTTCTGTGTCATTTCAAAGCGACTTCTTTGGCAGATGTCTCAGGGACAGCTTGGGCAACTGGATTGGCTGAATTCTTGCATGTTGATAGTTTTGTCTTTATACCTGAAGGTCAATTCCACTACGTATAAAATCCTTGACTTATATTTTATTTTAATTTAAATTTTCTCTAAATATATTATTCTTGTTTTCTTGTGTTAAGTCTGATGCTTGTATCATTTCTTTTTCTCCTTGGAGTGAACTGTTCTTTTATCCTGGATGCCCAGATTTTTTTTCCTTAAATTCCACTAATTTAACTCTAATGTGTCTCATTGTGGTTCACTCTTCCCAGTTGACATTTGACTTGTAAGCTTTATTTTCCTTATTTGTAAAATGAGAATTAACTGTTTATTTTTCACTTCTCATAGAGTAAGATAGTGTATACAAAGGGTTTTTAATTTATTGTTTTGCTATCTTGTTACCGTTGAAAGTCAATATTGTTAGAACTTTGAAATTTTCTAGACAAACGGGATTGAGTTGACTCTGTGTGTGACATGGGCAGTGGGAATTCAGTGGGTTTCACATGGCGAGTAGGCTATTCGGGTAGCTCCTAGATTTTACTGGTCAATAGCAGAGGCACCTAGGAAAATCCATCTTCACTGGGTTCTTCTCACACTCTTGCCCATCGTCTGAGCTTTGGATTTACATGATCTCACATGATATGTGCATAGAAAGATACACAGAAAAAAAATTAATCTTATTTTTCAGATAGTGAGGATTGCTGAAAACTCAGGTCAACCTAATCACCTAGCATGTTTTCCTGAATTTGTTGTCCATGAGGCCATATGTAAGAAGCTGCTGGGAAATACCAAGGAGACAAGATGCCATTTCTGGCAATGGGAAGATAAAACACAGTGTATCAAAGATCACTTAGGAATCACCTGTAATCCCAGCATGCACGCGCATGGGACAAATCCAAGTCAGTGTAGCAGAAGCTCCGCCATGAGTGTTCAAGGCTGTGTACCCTCTGCCCTCTGCCCTGGGGTTTCCAGGTCTGGCCTTGTTTGGGTAATGCAGCTGTTTACACATGCAGTCTGCAAATTACAGTGGGATATTGGGTAACTAAATTAGCCAAATCCATTTAATGCTTTTACCTGATTTGTAAGCACGATAGGGGCTTGATTAATCTGTACATAAATACTGTTGGTGTCTCTGTTTGAATATGTGATTTTTAAAAATAAATTCATCCATGTTTTGCAAGTGAGGTTGGAACCCATTAAAGGTTCTGATGACCCATAGTATCAGGTTGATTTTGAAACTCAAGGTCAGAAATGTATCTATAATTCTGTGTATAGCATGTTTCTTATCATATTCTGTGTTTAGACAGTGTGTATACTAATTAATTATAGTTCATATCCACAACAAAGTCCTGAGTAAGGAGTAAACTGCAGTGCACAGAAAGGGGTAGAAAACAGCCCTCAAAGAGTTGCAGATGTAAGAATCTGGAAAAGAAGGCAGATTGAGTAGATGTATGTCAGAGGCGCACAGTGCAGTAGCTGTCCAGAGCAGTTGGCTCTGAGGAAGGAGGTCATGTCACTTTGAGCTGTTGTCATTGTCCACAGTCCTCACCTGGGCTGATGCAGGTACAGATTTTTATTTCAGTTCATTCAACTTTTGTTATATTGTAGACTTGATGGTACCGTGCTTTCAAAACTTAGGTTCTTTATGAATGTGTAGTCACACTGTGAAGTTAGTGTTTGTCTTCTGCTCATTACTGTGAAGTGCTGCAGTGAGTTTGTCTGTCTTTGTACTTGGGGACATAAGATTTTCAGTCTGTTTCACTGTCACTCTACTTTTTCCCCTTTTGTTTTCATTGATTGTGTTTTCTCTCTTCTAAACATTTGGTTTCAAGTTCCAGGGTTTTTTTCAGAGGTTCGGTCTCTTACGGTTTTTGGATGTTCTGTTCTGTCATTCAGAAAGCATCCCAAATGTTTTCAGCACCACAACCATAGCATACATAAAATGGGGGCTGGGGTTGTGGCTCAGTAGTAAAGCGCTTGCCTAATATGCACAAGGCACTGGGTTCGATCCCTAGCACCACATAAAAATAAATAAATTAAATAAAGATATTGTGTCCACCTACAACTAAAAAAAAATATGTAAAGTGTTAAATGTCATGGAAATGTGTTTACATCTCCATTTGTTCAGCATCAACAGAAAGATAACTATTTTTTTTTTTTTAAAGACCTACCCCCACCTTTTGGGTGTCCAAGAAGAGACAAAGATGGTAAAGGCATGAGAGACAGTAAACAGAAACAGTGGAGAGAACTGGGAGAGAAGCAGGCATACCTCTGCATTTTGTTTGCGTGCAAGTTGGTCTTTTTTCCCCCTTCCTTAACACACACACACACACACACACACTCTCTCTCTCTCTCTCTCTCTCACTCTTTCTCTCTCTCACACACACACATTCTCTCTCTCTCTCATTCTCACTCTCACTCTCTCACTTTAAATTCCAGTGCTAAATGAGGTTACACCTTCAGCATTGATTCCTAATGATAAAGGTGAATGCTGAGCACCCATGGCCAACAGAAGCTGGTGGTTCAGTCTCTTAATGACTTTATTGAGCTGTATATATTTTATGTGCTATAAAATTCACCCATATACAGTTTGTTTACTCATATGCAGTTTGTTGAGTTTGTAAAGTCATACAGCAACTGTCACCATAGTTTTTTTTTTCTTTTTTCTTTTTTTTTTTTTTGTGTGTGTGTGTGTGTTTGTTTGTTTTTTGGCTGTGCTGGGATGGAACCCAGGGCCTGGTGCATGCTAGGCAAACCTTCTATCATTGAGCTACATCTCCAGCCTCACAATTCACTTTTAGAATATTTCCGTCACCCAAAGAGTTCTCTTGTGTCCATTTATAGTCAGTTCTCATTCCTAGTCCCGGTTCCAGGCAACTACTAATCTGCTTTGTGACTGTACAGTTTGCCTTTTCTAGAAATTTCACATAAATTGAATCATATACAATTTAGTCTTTTGGATTTGGTTCTTTTGTTTAAAGTTCAGCAGTTTGCACGCATCAGTACTTTGTTCCTTTTTGTTATAAAGTATTATTTCGTTGGATGGATAAAGTACATTTTGTTTATACATTTACTGGTTGTTGTTAGGTGTTTGGATTTTTTTTTTTTTTGCACCACTTTTGGCTATTATGAATAATGCTTCTGTGAACATGGGTCTGATTGTCTTTGAGTTGACATATGTGTTCATTTCTCAAGTGGAGACCTAGGGCTGGAGTGGCTTGGCCCTGTGGCTTGTAGGTGTGTGGTAAAGATCCTCTACCAGAGTAGCTGCACCATTTTACATTCCCACCTGCAGTGTTGAAGGTTTCCAGTTTCTCCATCTCCTCCTCAGCACTAGGTATTTTCAGATTTCTTTTTGTTAGCCATTCTGGTGGGTGTTAAAGCATACTTTTTAACATTTAATCCTCCTATTTCTTGAGAGCATCTGAGAGTATCCAGACACCCTGATAACGCTTTTGTCCTCTGTTTCACAGGTCCAAAGGCTGTGGCCTCCTGGGTGGAATCTCAGTGTCTCTCCGGAATCCCCAGTGAGTCACTGAATCTTGAACTCTCCCACACTGGGTGGGGTTGTAGCAACCTGTTTTTTTCCTGTCTCTCAGCTCCTGTGACTCAGAGCCCTCTGTGTCCTTGTAGCATTGTTAGGTGTGGTTTCTCTCTCTCCTGGAAATGACGCTCTAATCCTCTCTGGAATTGTGTCCATGAAGTGTGGTGTGTTTTCTGCTGAAGTGCTGGTGCCTGAGGGCGGTCTCCTCTGCTTCTTTGTTGTCATGCTCAGGCCCCAGGCTGCCAGACCTGGCCACAGGGGCTAGTCCCACAGCTGTGCAGCCATATATCATCCTGTAGGAGGGTCAGCATGTGCCCCCTCAGGGCCTGGTGAGAGCAAGGTGGTCGTCTTGGTGCTGACTGAGTTCTTGCTGCACCCCAAGGGTGTCTTTTGGAAAGCTCAGGAGAGGCTGATCACCTGATGGTGTGTGCACAGAAGTGCCATTTTCTTTTTCTCCTCCATGACAGTAAGACAGGAAAACACTCTCAAATTTATTTATGGACTAAAACAAACAAAAATTTGCCTTGGTTTCTTCCTGTAACTGTTCTTTAGCCACCAGCAAATATAGCAATGGTACTTTTACAAGTTTCTATGTTTGGCCCCATATTTTGGTTTTATTACAGAAAATCAGTTGTGTTTCTCGGAGACACTGTATCATTCCCTTTGTGTTTCTCTTCAATTTGTCCATTATAGTGAGACAAATTGTCATTGTTTCTCTTCTAAATTAGAAGTTGTCAAAGGATTTTTCAGGCTGTTGATGAGATTTGTATTCTAGCATACTTCTATTTTAGAATATTCTGTGATCATTTTTGTACTCGGTATCATCATTGCTTTTTGATTTTGATGTGAAGTTCCTCTCCTAGGCTATGACAGAGCGTGAACTCTACTTTCTCTGGAATGTTGTGTTTTCTGAAGTGATTCCTGGTCGTGTTGAGTTTCTAGATGTTAGAGGAGACGTGAGTGTGCTGGGCCTGTGGAAATCACATCTTGGCTGCAGACCACATCAGGAAGAACTGAAAAGTTGACACAGCCTCACCAAATAAAATCACTACCAGCAAGAAGCTGTCCGGAATAACTGGGAAAACTGTCAGTCAGGCAGCTGGAGGAGTACGGTGGTGACTGTGTTATAAAAGCTGTGCAAGGTCTGAAATAGTTTCCAGTACTAGGCCTTAAGAGAGGGATTGCCACAAGAAAACCGACACCTGCAGATTCAGTTGAGAGCCTCTCTTGGGAAGCTGTAAGCGTTGGGAAGGGCCTTCTAGGTATCTCCAGTTCAAACCCTTGTTTCCATTGTGAAAACACGAAGGTCCTGAGGTTTTAACTCATAGGCCGCCTGCTGGTGGGACCAGACCTGCATCCCCTGTCCCAGTGTTTGCTCAGTCTGCGTGGGCCTGGCACAGAGCAGCTTTGGGTTCCAGGAGAGGAGAGACGTGTCACGCTGCATTTGTGAGTCACAGACTCTGAGGGAACCAGGGGAAGGAGTATGGGGGACTCAAGGTGACACCCCATAAGGGAGAGCCTTTTCCAAGTTCATTGAGGTCCCCCCCCCCCTCTCATTTTTGCTTGCCTAGGCGCATGCTGGGTCAAACTGTGAGAGCTCAGGTATTTCAGAGAGCAGGCGGAGGTGCTCCTGCTGGCACAGCTGGGTGTGTGCAAGGGTTGACATGTTCAATTAGTGAATTACACAAAGCACAGATTATTTGAAGTTTTGTGATGTTTGTCACAGAGCAGGCAACTGTGACATTAAAATTCTGTTTGTGTATTTTAAATCAGACATAAGTGTGGCCAGATGCCTAGACATTTTATTTCAGAATGTAAAGATACTCTTCCACATGCCCTTTTGTCAGTCTGCACAGGTACTTTTTAACATTTGTTACTGGTTTGTTCCTGAGATGCCAGCTGCTTGCCATGGTTATGCATAACCATGCCTTGATGTATGCAAATTTAGAGTTAAGTGAATTTTTTATAGTTTAGCTTGGCTATTTGTTTACAGGCTAAATTAACCTCCCCACCCCCCAAACAGTACTGTGAGTTTGGATCATGAAGAGTTCATCCCCAGAACTCTCTGGGCTACTAGAGGGCAAAGTGTGTGGCTTGAAGAAAAGCTGCTGGTATTTTTTGTGCAGTGTAACTGGCAAGGGAACAGAGCAGGTAGTTACTGAGCTGACTCACATGCATAGAAGACCTTCTCGCCCTCCTTTATTCCTCCTGCCAGCAAAATGAAAGGTGCTAGGAAAAAGTCACCAGGTGATATTCCTGCCCTGACAATCCTGGCACACTTTGGTCTTTGTTAGAGATTAAGTCAATGACTTGGTCAACAATAGCATTACCTAATCATAGAGAACCGGGCTTATCATGAGGCAAATCTAAATGATGCTGAAATATTTTCCAGCAGAGGATTAGTAGTGTACCAGTGTGTGGGGGATGGCGTGTGTGCGTGCAGGCGTGCATGCACAGGCACAGTGTGCATACGACTTAACTTGCCTTTGGCCTCAGAATACAGGAGGTTTGAGCCAAAGCCTGTAGTGTGACCACAGTCTCCCATCTTGGATGGAAGCTACCAGCATTCTTTCCAGAGCTGGTGCTATTTGCATCTGACTTGACTCATAGGCTGACCAGCACCTTTACTCAGAGATAGTTGCTTTGAATATGATGCAAAGTCATTATCATCCTGAGCCATCCCAGGGAGAGGCTCAGTGGAACAAGTAAAGGTAGAGCAAACCAGTCTCCCAAACAGAAGGTAGATCATAATCATTTCCTCACCTTCAGAGTCACCTTTTTTTGAATTTGTATGGGAGTTTTTTGAATTGTATTGAAGTGATGAGAAATCAGATTTGTTTCTACAGAAGTCTCGTCCTTTGTTCAAGTTTTTAAATAGGAGGAAAAAGGAGAATGAACAATCAATCATAGTGATTGCTATAGATTTTGAACATGTATTCATAACTTGTCAATTTTTAACTTTTCCTCAAACCTGTTTAGAGATTATGTGCTGTCAGGGAAGGGAGAGGTGTATTAAAAATATGTCTGGACTTTGGAATTCTATTACTTGTCTTCACATTGATGTTCTGGGCATCTGGAAGGTGAATCATGTCACTTATATAAAGATTAAGAATAAAGAAGAGGGTATTTGTATGGAATTCCTGGGCTTTTTGCTATGAAAAACTTACCAGCATATTTGGAAAAACTTCCTTATTTTGTTTTAGTTAAGACAGTTCATTATATCTTACTATCATATCAGAAATAAGTCAGAATTAAAGTGAAGTAGCTGTTTTAACCAAAACTCAGTAAAAAGCGTTCATTAGGGGAAGACATTTTACTTGGCAAGCAGTCTTCCACTGCACTCCCTCAGTGGGAGTTAACGTATGTGGAAGGACACTCATCTTCCCCTTCCCCAGATGTGTGCCTTTCCTCTCTCCACAGACCCAAAGCTGCAGGTCATCTGTGCTGTTAGAGTTATATCAAAACCTAAAGTGCTTTTCTTCTCTTTATAGTCCCTAATGACATGGAACTTGTCATCAGACAGGCAGATTGAAATTCAGTCTTCACCCTGTCCTAGCTTTTTACCCTGGACAAACTAGCCCTTAAAAGCCTCAGTGTCCTCGTTGGCAAACTGCTGCCCCTGCCTGGCTCATTGCTCACAGAAGATGCCTGCTCTTGCTACTACTGCTGAGCTTCCCTACCAGCATTCCCAGGCTTTGAAGTCACCTGTCCATGCTGTGTTATGAGAACAGAAGGACCCTTGAGGACCAAGATGACTGACCAGGAAATGTAGCCACAGAAGCATGGCCATGGGGGTAGGAGGCAAGTTGAAAGCGTCACTGTGGTATCATGGGCCAGCTTGACGTCCCCGGCCTGAACACGCAGGCAGCAGTCCAGTCCCTTCTCAGCATCTCCTAGCCACAGGAAGCAGAGGTATAAGGGGTCCACTGTCTCCCAGGCTGACCTAGAGGCTGCCCTGGGGTTGGCAGGCAGTGTGCCTGCCAACTCCAAGGGAGTTTTAATTGAAGTCATGTGAACAGCTGCACTGATTTTGGTTGAGGCCTTAGCTCTTTTTACAGAAGTCTGATCATCCCGAACACAAGTGCTTGCCACCATGGTACTGGTGTTCTGGACATTGAAGAATTCCCAGAAACCTTAAAAGCAAGTGTGGAGATATCCACCCCCATCCAGCCAGCAGCTACCAGGCTTAGAGCAGTACTGAATCAGCTCCCAGTGGGTAACAAGTGTCCCTGGTTGCTGACTTAATAACAGAAACCCACTTAAGACACTGGAGAAATGGTCCAGTGTGTTGTCTCAGCTGTGAGTAATGGCTTATGCATGATTTAAAAAGGCTTCTCAGAATGACCTTGCTTATGTAATCAAGGATCAATATTTTTTAGAAAGAAGTTTTTATAGGTAAGCCATAACATGACTTGATAATCAGACCTCATTTTCAAGTAGTTAAAAGGGTCACTGGACAAAGCCCAGTGGACTGACACAGGCTTCCTAATGGCGAGGACTGAAACTCCACATGCCCCCTCAGTTATGAGCAGGCTTGAATATTTTATGGGGGAAGAAATTACTTTTTTATGTAGGATAATTTTCATGTCAAATGTTATATTAGCCAGCCAGCTCTATCAGCTTAGGCAGGGCACCACTTCTCACTGGATCCCTAATTTTCCCAGTAAAGCGTACTTTAAATACAGAGTAAGGAATGAGAACGTGGGATGGGAATGGGGAATGAATCATGAGAAAATGCCACCACCATTTTCTTAGTCCTTGGCATTCTTGGAATATTCTTTCTTCTGTTGACAGAGGGCAGAAGCTTAACTGTAGGCCTGTGTGCAGAGAGGGCCAGCTTGGAGCCTCTGGAACATTCTCAATTCTCTCCCAGGTGGTGGGCTTCCCCTCTGATGGCAGTGAGAGAACCAAGGACTTGATCGGCCACAGCAGTTTCCAGATGTGGTGTTGGAGTGGCCCTGTTGAATACTGCCTGCCCAAAAG